GTTCGATGCTAGACTCCAATACGTCCAAAGGCAAACCCAGTCCGAACTGAAAGCAAGCTTAGGGGGACATTAAATATGCATCGACCTGTACTGACGCGACGCAGCTGTATTTCGACCAAGGTGAATTCTCCGGGGTTCGAGATACTCGTAAACCACTCGATTTAACGGTAACTAGCGAATTTAGCTACTCTAAAGCTTCGTGTATCTCGATACGAGGAACATCGAGTTCGACAGAGAGAACGTATATAGACAACGACTAAAATACATCGTATTGGAAATATAACAAGGAGAAATAGGTAATATCGATTGAATGAAAGAAATTTATTGCACTTTAACATCCGAATCGTATACCATCTTAGGTAGAATGTAAGGTGGTGGTGTGCTATTAATTACCCGGTACTGATTACTTCCTGAACCAATTTCACAGTACGCTTTTCATATTTCCTAGTTAAAAGTTGGAGAATCTATAAGTCCAGGTACAAGCCAATTGCGTCGTACTAATTCCCTCTGGCTTCATTCGCTTGTACCAAAAGGAAGCGTTGGACGTTTCTATTACGAGTAATTGAACTCGCTGTAGCGTACGCATGTGGAATCCAATGCACTTTTCTGCTCTATAGGAAATACTATGGTGAACTAGAGAATAAAAAGATACTAGGCTTTCTCGTGGAAAATTGGATTTGTTCCTATTCGGTAGATCTCTGGTTCGCGGTGATCGATCATCGACTACACGTGGCAATTTACAAGGTTCCCTGATACGGAGGAAGGACACGTTTAGTATTTCCATTTACTTCACTGAATAGCACATTTGAATATTAATGCAGTATGGGACACCCCTTAACGTATGTTCGTATGCGGAACTTCACTGGACAGATGCAAATGGTACATCGTGATCTTGCATTACTATAGGATGGGATGCTGCTCCACCTGCATACCTCTTCTATGGCTAGTGATGTATACCCTGGAGTCACTCAGTATGGTAATTCTGTAATTTGTTCCCCATTGTACCACGTATGATGCTGCATCGTCGATCAATTTCTCATTGATCATATTCGAGAGGGCGACACTGCTGATGAGATTCTGGGATAATGTTTCATCGCAGTTTTATGCCGGGGTGCTGTATACGTTAATGGGATCATTGGAAATACAAAAATTTTCAACCGATATTTTATATCGAAAATATTTTTTTAATCTCAAATTGAAAAATTCATATTAAAAAACAAATGTTTCTAATAGTATGTCTACGGAGTTTTTACTTTTTATATTTTCTTATAGATAAAATTATTGTTGAGCTTAGTACATTGTGTTGTTTAGTAACACTGGTCAAGTTGAAAATATTGTTTATGTCGATATTAAAACAATCTCGGTACTTATTTCGTCGATGTTATGGTTTCGCAATTAGTTCACTTTTATCATTTTCCTTAGGTTAATAACTTACCAACGGGGGTAGGTATGTATATCCATCCATCGGTAATATAATACGTTAAAGTTTCGCTGTCGTGAGTTTGTTTTGGTTGGGATTAAGAATGTTATTGAGTAATTGGAATTAGTAGATATGTTACCTATAAAGGGGTTGAGCAGTCGAGATTTTAACAATAAGGGAATTTCTACAACAGGCGCCATCTTGGGGTTGAATCGTTAAGTTTCAACAAAGAAGACTCTTAAGCTTAAGGGTTGAATCGATTTTCATATTGTACTTTTCTTTCAAGAGTTTGGTCATAGATGGCGCGTATGTCACTTTGGTATATCGACTGATGTTAAATTATAGTCTGCCTGCAACCCTTTATAAAAATTTAATGTGCTCTGTCAAACAGAGAGTGTAACCGAAAAGGATATCGGTTCAGTTACGGGGTTCACAATGGTAAAAGCTTGAATTTCGATTTTAGCTTTCAGTTTTGGGTTTTTCATTCATCAGTTTTCGTTTACGGTTTTCAGTTTCAATTTCCGTTTTAAAGAGAGATAGTTTTTGGTAACGATTTTTTATTTTCCGCTATTCCTTCTCCTTTTCCATTTACATTTTTCGGTTTTCAGGTTCGGTGTGTATGTACCATGAAGTCTAAGGTCTCATTCAGACCTAAGACAACAAAGTTAGCGGATAACCAGCGAGAAGAAGGAAAAAATCAAATGAACAGAAATATATAAAATTCGAAACATTGAATAAAGCTGTCAAAATGTTATTGAATACTATTGGATCTTGACTTAATTTCGAAATTTATCAAAAGCACAAAATATACGGAGTAGATAAAAACAGAATAGAAATTGTAAAATATCGAAAATAAATTAGGCTCGAATTGAAATATTCTTCTCAATATTCTTTGCCAGGATTTCTGATTTTTAAGTGTTAATATCTTAGTTAATTGATTTACTGAATTATTTTAATATTCCAAACAATTAATGTATTAATATTTCAATTTGAGCCTAATTTATTTTCGACATTTTACAATTTCAATTCAATTTTTATCTACTCCGTATATTATGTGGGATCCTTAATCAACCTCAATTTTATGTTTTGAATAAATTTCAAAAGGCATGACTAAAGAAAAAATTAGAATACCCGGCCGCGACCCGGTACCTCATAACTGCGAGGACCCACATACCCACGCAGGCCAGTGCGTTTTCCATGTAAATATTCGTTTTCTTCTTGTGCTTATATTCATTTTCCCGGTTATCACTCACGCGCTCTCAGGAAAAAGAAACGCTCGCAGATTTATGTATTTATTGTATGTATATGTATACATGTAATATAATAAAATGTACATAGTAAAATATAATAACCCATGTGTGAGGTTTGCTTAGGGTATACATTCGACCTATCACAAACGTGGGACTGATTCAAAGCTCCTCCGTCCAGGTGGTGCGTCGGCACCAGAATGCATAGAGTCCAGAGATCAGTAGGGAAATGCACAACGCTACGGTTTTAGGCGATACCAAAAACATGGTGCTAAATCGTAGCGGCGAGTCCGGGAATAGAATTTTGTGATCATCGCCTCCGTCGATAATGCATATCCCGTCGTAGCCGAGCTGAACGTGATATCGAACGGGTAGCCTGGCAGGCAGAGTCCTCCGCTACTTATCGCTGGTTCCCAAAGCAACCCTTAGAACGAGACAACTCATCGGATATAGCCTAAATACTTTTTTTCTTTGCAATCCTAAATTCGATCGTACAGTGTAAGCTCGGTAAGTTTAATATGACAAAAGCAAGCAACTCATGTCTGCCTGCACTGGAGCGTATGATGCAGCAAGCATATTTAATACATATTTTTCACCGATGTTGAAAATGTAGATGAACAAAAGAGACAAAGAATCGATGAATGTATCACAACTGCAATGTATTTGCGGAGAGAGGAGAAGGGGGAAGGAAGACCGGCAAAACGCGGTTTCCAAGAGAACGGCTCTCGAAAGACTGACCTCTGCACCAATAATACATTCTTTGTATACCGCTGAGTACCCCCTCCCTCCCGCTCGAGAACTCCTTGGCAGAAGTGATGCCCCCCTTTGACAGGTTTGTCAATTACAACTCGTACAGGGTTCGTCAACGATGCTCTCGAGTGACGATGCAGGCTGATCGGTGCACGGCAATTGTTCGCATTTCAGGATATCGTTGACGCACCCTGTAATGCTCCTAAAGCGTACGTTTAATTAGCACAGCAGGGCTCTAAGTGCGTCTCTCTCGCACGCATACGAATTATTACACTTTTTCTACTACCTATAACTATACTACTTTTAACTTA